GCAGCACTGATATCCCTAGTTCCGTATCCTCTTCTGAATTCAGCTTTAATTTCTGTTACTTCTTGTTGATACATTGCCATAATCATTTTAAATTTATATTTTAACAAAATTTTACTTGCAGTGATATTAATTATATTGCTCTGTGAGGGCCACATCTGCTTGAGTCACTTTTCTTTGGAATAGGTATAAACATGAATATCTTCTGATTGGTTGACTAGGTAGCTGTCTTCTAAATATTTAGATGTCAACAAATGAGTTCCTGCAATGCTGTATCAGGACTGGTGGTGGTTGTGGTGGTTATGTGCTGTGGAGTTGGAACCAACTCATGGAGGCCCTGTACATGTTTTCCAAGGCTGTAAATCTTTATGGTAGCACAAAGCCTCATCTTTCTCACACAGAACAGCTGGTAGTTTCGAACTGCTGACCTTGAGGTTTGCAGCCCGATTCATAACCACTACACTACCAGAGCTCCTTCAATACTGAAAGTTGAGGCTTGAATTTTTAAAAAATGTTTTTTTTGTTCTTTCAGCTTGAGAAATGCTGAGCATGTTCTTCCCTTTTGGTTTTCTAACTCCAAGTATTTGCACATTTCATGGTAATACTTGACTTTGTCTTCTCATTGCCCTTTGAAATTTTCTGTTCAGCTCTTTTAATTCATCCTTTCTTTCAGTTGTTTTATCTTCTCTGGGTTCAAGAGGAAACTTCAGAGTCTCTTCTGACATCTATTTTGGCCTTTTCTTTATTTCCTGAATTTGTAATGACCTTTTGCTTTCTACATGTATGATGTTTACAATGTCATTGACATGTGGTTTTCAATCATTAGTGTCTAATGCATCAATTATGTCCTTGAATTGTTCGCAAATTCAGTTGGACATATTCAAGGTTATATTTTAGTTCTTGTGGGGTTGTTTGCATTTTTCCCAGCTTCAGCATGAATTTAAAAAAAAAAACTGATTGCCAGTTCCACAGTTGTCCCTAGCCTGTGTTAGCTGATGCTATTGATGTTCTCCTTTGTCTCTTCCGACAGATACAATTTATTTGATTCCTATGTATTCCATATCATCAGTTCGATGTGTATAGTCACCAATTATGTTGTTGAAAACAGGTATTTGCAATGAATAAGTCACTGATCTTGCAAAATTCTATAATGGTATCTCCAATATTGGAGTCCTTGTATAGTGCTGTGGGTTAATGTGCCAGACTGCAAAGTCGGCAGTTCAAGTTCATCAGCTACTCCTCGGAAACCCTATGCAGGGTCGCTATGGGTCAGAATCAACTCGACGGCATTTAAAAACAACATCTCCAATATTTCTTCTATCACCAGTGACATGTTTTCCAACTACTGATTGTACCTCTTTGTCTCCAACTTTCACATTCTAATCACCAGTAACCACCAATGCATCTTGATTTTGAGTTTGATGCATTTCAGACTGAAGAACTGGTAGAACTGTAAACTTTAATCATCATTGGATTAATAGTTTGTAAATTACAATAGTGGTATTAATTGGTATTCCTTGTCAGCATATGGATATAATCCTATTTTGTTGTTGTTAGGTGCCATCAAGTTGGTAGCGACTCATAGCGACCTTATTCACAACAGAATGAAACACTGCCTGATCCTGGGCCAACCTCACTGCTGTTGCCACGCTTGAGTCCATCGATGCTGCCACTTGGCCAGTCCATCTGGTTGAGGGTCTTCCTCTTTTTCTTTGTCCCTCCACCTTACCAAACATGATACCCTTCTCCAGCGACTCGTCCCTCCTGACAACAAGTCTGAAGTATGAAAAACGAAGTTAGGCCATCTTGGCCTCCAAATAGCACTCTGGCTGCACTTCTTCCAACATGGATCTATTGGTTCTTTTGGCAGCTCATGGCACTTTCAATATTCTCCTCCAACACCACAACTTAAAAGCATCAATTCTCTTATGGTCTTCTTTATTCACTGTCCAGCTTTCGCATGCATATGAGGTTATTGAAAATACCATGGCTTGGGTCAGGCATACTTTAGTCCTCAAGCTGACATCTTTGTTCTTCAATACTTTAAAAAGATCTTGTGCAGCAGATTTGCCTAATGCAATACATTGTTTGATTTCTTGACTGCTGCTTCCATGAGTGTTGATAGTTGATCCAAGAAGAATGAAGTCCTTGACAGCTGCAATCTTTTCTCCGTTGATAAGAATGTTGTTTATTGGTCCGGTTGTGAGGATTTTTGTTTTCTTTACATTGAGATGTAATCCTAATACAGACAGCATTATATCTCAAGATCTTGAAATGCTCTTTTTTATGTAAATATAATACCATTCCTCATCAATTTGCTATTCCTGGCATAGCAAACAATATGATTGTCTAATTCAGAACAGCCAGTACCTGTCCATTTCTGCTAATACCTAGGATCAATATTTAGTTGTTCCGTTTCATTTTTGACAGCTTCCAATTTTCCTAGAGTCATACTTTATACATTTTATGTTCTGGTTATTAGTGAATGTTTGCAGCTGTTTCATATGCTGATTGTTCCCCATCAACATAGGAAGGTCCTGAAAGCTTTGCTCCATCAACATTATTACAGTCAATTCTACTTTGAAGAGTCAGCTCTTTTTCTAGTTATAATTTGAATGCCTTTTAACCTGAGGAACTCATCTTCTGGTGCTTTACCTGGCAATGTTTTGCTGCTGTCTTAATATTTTAGTATTAAACCTTTCGGAAGTGAAAAAGTCTTAGCTTTTTCCTAGTTTGTTATTAGTTTGGAATCTCCACAGTTGACCATGCTGGTGTTTAAAATACTGGTAATACTTCTTCCAGCATCAACACATAAACCAGTACAGTGGCTTTTTTTATAAAAGTATGTTTTCATGCATGTTTATTGCTGTTGTGTACCTCCCTACCCTTTTGTACTACAAGCTAAGTGAAGTATCTACTGCCAGTGAGCGCAGATTCTTCAAATCAAAGTAGCAAGGGAAACATTCTTTGTGTAATCCTCTTCAGTAGAAGACTTTGCACCAGGCAAACTGTCCACTCACTGCTTGGCTGGAGGGCATTGGAGTTGTAGACCAGAGACCAGAGGTATGAGATAAAATACTCTATTCCTCTTCTTTGTTTTTGAAATTAATTTCTGGACATTTCTTTAGCCTGCCTTTGGGCAGTGCGACAATACCTTGCTCGATGATTTCCAGGACCTTTTCCACCAATAGCTCAGCTCCAACTTGTAGCACCTTTGAGGTTATTGCCAGACCACTTTTTGCGTTATATCCTGAAATGAAGTGTGAGTTCGAGACTGTTCAAAGACATCTCATTTGTAAAACAGTGCATACACCATATATGGGTTGTGGTGAAGAGAATTTTTCAAGCAGAAATTGTTGATCTCCAAGAATGTTCAAATCACTTCTTTGATGATATTTAGGTCTTGTGCATAATCTAATAAGGGTTGTCATTGAAGCTCTGCAAACCTCTCAGTGACTGGGTGGCTTTTTCCAAAACTTGCTTATGTTGTTAGTCAGCAAAGAAAATAAATTGATGACTCTCTAGGAAGCATACTGATGGAAAGAACGAAAGTGTGCCAACGTATTTGTTAAAACTGCCAAGCAATTTATGAGAAGGCACTTGTCTCTTGTCCATGTCTTGTTGTACTGAGTGGCTCTTCTTATTATTACTATTAGAATACTCCCCAAAGAAATCTCAGTGAAAACCTGTTCTGAATTTCAAGTAATATAGTTTTTAATATCACTTTAAGAATGGGTCTATTGAAGCCACCATCTTCTTTAAGAATCAGCAATATTTTAAGTCATATATACATGATGTGAATTTCTTTCTTCACCATGATATAGAACCTCAGGAATTGGCAAAACAAAAATTCCCATATCTGTACAAGCCAACATATATGTTTTAATATTACTATTCTGATAGAGTAATATATACAACAGGAAGGTTGCCTGATCAGATGTCTGCTTACAGCTGTATACAAACTATGCAAATTATTAAAGTTAATCTTGTAAGGATGTGAAATTGGCATGGGAAAAGGACTGCTATCTTGTGTGTTCTTAAAGGACATAGTGACCTTTCTATAGGGGGCAAAGTACATCTGCCAGTTGGACCAACAGCAGCAGAAATAGGAGACTCTGGTTGGCCAGAAGTAGAGCAAGCTCTTGAGTTTGTTGGTTACCTCCCACACTGTTTTGTGTGAAGACAGCCCAGAGTCCAGTCCCTAATCCTATAGCAAGTGCCCCTTCTCGATTGCTGAGGGAAAGCGTGGGCTCCTGGAGGAGGTGTTTTTTTCTTGTCTGATGAAGTTATACAATAAGGTTTTCATATGTTTGGTGGTGTATGAAATAATCCTTGAGAGAGAATTAAAGTCTTGGAATTACCATTGTAAGGAAAATGTTAACTAGATAATACAAACTAACTATTGGTTGTCCTGCTTACCTATTTAGCATAAATTGCATTGTGATTTAAATGGAATAGGTAAGAGCAACAACAGAAGGGAGAGTTGAATTGCCCCTTGTGGTATTACCCTGAGTCAAAGGATCTAGATAATACTTCTGCCCATACAAATAACATTTTTAGAGTTGTTGAATCATCTTTTATTTTCAAATATGCTACAAAAGACTAGATTTCTTTTCTGATAAGTTGACAGTATATTTAATAGAGCTGTATTAAATTCACTCTCATGTTTATGTTGTAGGTTGAGGCTTGCTATAGATCTTGTGAATATGTACACTTCTTACCACCTATTAGTCTTAACCACCTTGGTGCCAGGAATTTCTCTGAATCTAACCTCATATCGTCCTGTCTACTTGCTTTCTAATGAGAAGACCATTTAGTCATTATAACCCGTATACTATATGATTTCTTCACTCCTTATTTGGATACTTTTTAGTCTCAATTATGCCATTTTATTTTATTTTTAATCTTATTGATATTTGGATTTTATTTATGTGCTGTAATTTGTTTATTTGATTTTTATTTTGGATTTATGAGTATTTTGACATTTGGTATTTGTATTGCAGTTCCCTGAATGTGGTTTCTACGGATTGTATGATAAGATCCTGCTTTTTCGCCATGATCCTACCTCTGAAAACATCCTTCAGCTCGTGAAAACGGCTAGTGATATCCAAGAAGGTGATCTTATTGAAGTTGTCTTGTCAGGTAGTGTACTTTTTTCTGTATCCGTAAAATCACAATTTATATTTGAAGAATACTTATGTATGTGTATGGGGGTATATCACACACACATATGTAAGATACAAGAAGAATCAAAATGTGTTGCTGCAAAATCATAGAAACATTTTTTTAATAAAAAATAATCACAGTGTGAAGCTACTATATCCCAACATCTCATCCATATAAGTCTATACACTTCGGGAGGTGATGCTTCCATCTTACTAACCCTTCCCCCAAATAATTCCGTGCTCTTCAATTAACACCATGTTATACTGCTGTTTTGGCATCCTGAAGGGACTCAGTTTCATATTTCTTTTCAAATGTTCTTTACATTTGGTGAGCACAAAGAAATCAGATTTAGCAAAATTAGGGTTCTATGGCAGATGGTATAAGGTTTCCCAACAAAAATTCTCATAGGAAAGCTCTGCTACCCTTGCAGAATAATCAGGTAGATTGTTATGATAGGAGGAGAAAAAGAATCTCAGCCCAACTTTTCTGTTCTTGTTTTTTTACCCCTCATCAATCTTGTTTTCAATTTTTTTTTTAAAAACTTCATAATGAGCCATTGTGATCACCATTTGTCCTTTCAGAAAATTTGTCAAAACGATCCCTTTGGAATCCCAACACAGCCACTATAACTTTCTGAGCTGACCTCTCTGCCTTGAAATTAACTGGCCCAGCAAATTCCTTGGAAGTCACTGTTTTGTTTGGACCTGTTTAAAATTTTTCTTCAACAACTTATTCTGTTGGTGTAGTGGGTTACATGTTGGACTGCTAATCACAAGATATTAGGTTAAAATCCACTAGCTGGTCTGAGGGAAAACTGTGAGACTGGTCCTGTGAAGATTTACAGCCGTAGAAAGCCTAAGGAGCACATCTGCTCTGTCCACTGGGTCACGAGGAGTATGAATCAGCTAGATTTCAGTTGATAATTCAATGAGATTAAGACATGTGAATTACTGAGAGAGCTTGTCTGCAATCATCCACTGATCACAGAGGAATGTTGAAATACATTTTGTTTGCAATGAACCCTTGCATATTTGAACTGGAACCGTAATAATAATGCATTTTGATTTGTGTGTAAATGAGTATATGTGTGTATCTACATACATATATATCAATTTTGTTTTGGTAATACACCTATAAGAACATTTCTATCTTAATCATTTCTAAGTGTACTTTTCAGTGGCATTATTCATAGTCAGTTGTTTTGTAAACATCACTACTATCTGCTTCCAAAATATTTTCATCACTCCAAACAGAAACTCTACCTACTATGAACAAATCACCATTCCACCTTCTTCTCTGGTTCTGCTAACCTCTGATCTATTTGCCTTACCTATGAATTTGACTGTTCTAGACATCATATTTAACATGTTTTCAAGGTTCATCCATGTTGTAGTGTGTATGAGAACATCATTTTTCTTCATGGCTGGTTAACATGCCATAGTATGTGTATACCATATTTTGTTTATCCATTAATCTGTTGGTGGACATTTGGATTATGTGGACCTTTTTCCTATGTGAATAATGCTGCAGTGAATATTGGTATGAAATATGTTTGCATCCCTGTTTTCATGTCTTTGGATTTATACCTAAGAATAGAATTTCAGGGTCAAATGTTATCTCATTGTGACTTTGAATGGACATAGGCTTTTGAGCTTATGTCAAACTCTGTCCAAATGAGAACTATTTGAATTCTGCCTATATTAAAATTTCAAATTATTTTGGAAGAAAAGCAGAAGATTTCCCTGTAAATTGACTTCTTCCACATCTGGTACTGTATCAATTTCTCTGTTTGATTCACCCTCCTTCTTTTCCCTTCGACTATGTATGTATACCTTCCTTCATTCTCTATCTGGAATCATTTGGACCGCAGCAAAAGCAACAGAAAACTTATTAGCAGTAAAACTATAGCAGATGTGCAGGTCCCAAGTATGCTGAACATCTTGGAAGCAAAACTAAGTAAAAGAAGGGCTTAGAAGCCATTGATTTATAAGAGTCAAATGCCCAGTAACTATGAGAAAGCTAAAACCAAAGGAAAAAACTCAAACTTAGGAGTTACAGCAGGGAAGATCAGATCGTATGATATCTTCAATTTGACCATAACAATTTGGCTCAGTAATCTCAGTACCTGAGAGATACTGATTTTCCCTGTGCTTGGATTTAGGATTTAGGAAACCAGTAATAAAACAATGTATCGATGCAGAGAGAATAGATACATTTAGCTTTAAAAAAAAAAAAATAAAGTACCAGATGACAACGGTGGAGGGGATCTTTGCAATGGTCAGTGAAATAAATGAGAAGTTATCCAGAATGTTAACTGTTTATTTTTGCTAAAAGTACACATTGAGTCTGTATTGAGAAACTCAGATTACATTGCTTCTTTCTCCCTTCTGACTTCCTTGGCTTTCTTTCTCTTCAGCTAAAGGCTGTTGTCGAAAAGCTCCTTTTAAAAGAAATCTATTAGCTTTAATGATTGTAGACTCCATTTCCTCAAGTTCCCATTGATCGCCTACCATTGTGTGAGGGATGGGGATGCTACACTTTGCTTGTGTAGATGCTGGACCCTAGAAAACAGCTTTCTTGCTGAATAAAAATAATCATTGTTGCTTATAGAGTAGTCAGTTGCTAAATAAACAAACCCAAAATACAAAAGCTTTAATGCCCTTTTATTATTTTTTTTTTTATATAAAATCAGTTGCCTTGACTGCTTTCTTCCACTTGCTTTTCTTTGGCTCCTTTGACATTTGCCTGCTGTACCTAACCTCTCCAAACTAATGCATAAACATGCCATTTCAAAGTTTACTGATTATTATTATTTTTTTTTAACATTAGAAGATAACAAATAAATTATTCAGAGAAATACTGCACTGGATCTATTCTCACCCTAATTCATATTTAACTCATAGCCAGACAGCTTTGCAAATAATGTGGTATGCTTTATGAGTTTTTTTTTTTTTTTTTATCCTGGTGTATTGTCCAGAAAGCTATGAGGATTGAAAAAGTTATATTTCTAAGTTCCATGTAGTTTTCTTTCAGTTTAGTTTTGATATCAAGCACTTTGTAGTAGTACCAGAAAGATTGACTATAACCTAGGGGGTGGGGGTGGGGGCAGTCTGCTGATTTTCCTATCATCCCAGAGTCTGCCAGTCAACCACTTTTCCCTATAGTTAACCTGATACATATGTTACAGTTCCCTTGCTGCATACGGAATACCATCCGTGTTCCCTTTCTCATCTTGTCACACCCAGGCTCTCATTGAGCATGTTTCATCCCTTCTGCCACCCACCCTTCATGTCGGCTTTCCCACCACCTGGCTTAGGAAGGACTCTTCAATTCTTGCCACCCTATTTTGTCGATATTTTTCAAAGGCCATGTGCTAGCACTTCATTTCTAATTGTTATAATTATGATCCTGGAAGCGTTGAGCTTTTTCCTCACTCTAGGAAGCCCCACTTCCCCAATGCTATTGAGCCCTTGAGTTATCCAATTACATTTAGATCTCCTGTTCTCACTAGTAAACATTGTTGACAGCAGGGTTCACTCCCTCCTCTTCCATTCTAATGCCTAGTGTTGGTGTGCTGTGGAGTAGTCAATTCCGACTCATAGCGACCCCGTACAGGGTTTCTGATGTTGTAAATCTTTACGATAGCAGAAAGCCTCATTTTTCTCGCACAGAATGACTGGTAGTTTCGAACTGCTGACCTTGAGATTAGCAGCCCAACTCATAACCGCTACATCATAACTAGCCCTATACATGCTATACAAAAATTTCCCTCACACCTCCTTCCCCTCTATATTACAACACTGTTTCTTTTCCATACCTATTATCTTCTTGATAGGTAAGGATCAATTGCCCAGTATTTCCTCCATTTTTTCTTGTATTCTTATCATATGTGCAGTCTGTATCTCATGAAGGGGATGATCCATTTCCTTTCATATGGAAGACCTTGCCTCTAATTTTATTGGATATTTTCTATATAACCTTTCTGCCTTGCCATATTATACCTATTCCACATTTTTTATATCATTGCTTTCTTGAAAGCTCATTTCCATTCAACTATGGTGACAACTCCAACTTCAGACTCCTGTTTCTACTTCCCGTTTTCTGCAATGAATTATCCTTAGTGTTATTTAAATATGTTTTTATGACTCAGCAAATTCCTTGTTATCATTATTTAGTCACCCTGTAGCAGAACCCGATGACTATTCACACCAGTAGGACTTGGTTCCATCTGTGACATCTCCACTTGGAATCACTCCTCTTCCCTATCCTAGACTGTCATCTTGCTCATTCGCTACCAAACGCACGCACCTGTTTCCTCGCTTTTTTTCACTAGACTTTGAAATCATTAATCCTTTTAATATTTTGTTGGTTGCATATTTCCCTTTCTTCTCCCCCCCGCCCCACAACACGAGGCCCACTCAGTATGTGCATGCATATGTTACAGTATTTTTCTATAGCTTCAGCTCTTATTCCCACTCACTTTCTAGATTTTGGTAGGATTCCTTTCTGGATTCCTTGTATGATGCTGTAAGATAAACACCAGCCATTCCTCAGAAAACCCTCTGTAGGGTTGCTGTGAGTCAGAACCCACTCAGTAGCACTTAACAGCAATACCTGCCCTGATGTGGCTCTTTGGGTTAATGCACCAGACTGCAAAGCTGTTTGAACTGCAAAGTCAGGGGTTCAAGCTCACAAACTGCTCCTCGGAAACCCTGTACAGGGTCGCTACGGGTCAGAACCGACTCGACAGCACTTATGAACAACAATCTCAATTACCATTACATTCATTTTTGCTTTCCCTGTTTGTGAATTGCACATGATTTCTGGACACACAATGTCTAGTCTGCAATGATCAGTGAAGAACAATGGCCTAATCTTCATTCCAGGATCTTTCTCTCCCTCTATCTTTTTTTTTTTTTTTTTTTTTGTGATTATAGATAAGAGTTCCTAATAAGCATATATGAGTTGACCGATTG